AAGTCGGACGCTTAACCGACTGTGCCACCCAGGCGCCCCTCTGGCTTGATTTTTAATGGCTTTACAGTAGTTTTTCATTCAATGAATATATTGTGATTAACTTAGTTATTCCCCTGTTAGAATAAGCATTTTGTACATTAAATTTTTTCCATATAAAGGATTAGTTTAATATTTCCAGAAGTAAAATCTGAAGCAAATACTGTGGATATTTTTAAAGCGCTGAATCATACTTTTGGAAAAGTTTTTAACTGCAAACTGGTTGTTGCCTGTTTCTTCCTCTCTGTTGAGGTATATAGAGGAAATGCACAGTGGTTTTAGTGTTAGCCTTGCACAGATGCAGTTAAAGAATGTAACTCTCTTGCTGCCATAAGTTTCCCAAAGGCAAATATATATATATATCTTAAGTGTTGATACTACTATCCATTTTTGTCAATATGCATGGTTAATTGAAAGATTATAAGATTTCCTTTCCCTAAAAAAGGAAATCTGCATTGGTAAATTTCAAATATTATAATTAAAAGTTTATAAAAAGGAATTTTGTTAAGTTTTTATATTAGGCAGTCTTTTCATAGAAAAACTCAGTGTGCAGAAGTTGTTGGACCTAATAGTATATTTACATTAATCCTTTCTTTTATTTTGAGTTTTGCCTTTCTTTGTAGATCCCTTCATTATTGCCCAATTTTTTAAATTGTGAATTGCACCATATCTTTGCTTTCAAAGACGTATCCCTATTGTCCTTCCAGATTATCAGTAGCTCACTTTGGTATAATATAATTTATATGTTATTTATATCTTATCCTTTTTGGAGGGAATATAATGTATAGACTACTTTTATTTTTTTTCACCTGTTCTTTATTTGGCTTTTTATTCCTATTGTTTTAAAGCAAATAATGCTTTACTTCCAAATTAGTTGAGAATATATAACTTAGTGAAATAACTTGACCAGAAATGTTTTTGGTCATATAATTTTGTTTACCTGGAATGGATTGCAAAATTTTATAATTTGTTTTATTAAGGATAATTAAAGCCTTAGAAGTACATTATGGATCTTACAACTGTTATCCTGTTTAATATTTTTAATATACAGTAAATCATATTAAAATAACATACTGACTATATCTTTATTCTTATTGCTAAGTTAGTGCCTCATTTTAAAGTATTTGGTCTTTGGGATCATGCTATTTTTACATCATAGGGTAGATGAATATTAACTTAGTTATTAGGGAGTTAGTTTAATTTGTTCAAAAACACTTGAGGTAAAGTATTTTTCTTTGTTTTTAATAGTTGTGTGGAATTCGACTTGAATGTAAACAATATTGTTGGAATAAGAAACACATTCCTCCTCAGAACTTACGCATACCGTAAGTTTTTTGTTTATTTCCAAATAATTATAGCTTCTCTCTTTATCCTTTATTCCTTTTTAAATATGTTTATAATAAACACTGACATCTTTTTAATTATTTTAATGTGTAGTGTCTCATTTTATTATATGTATAATATGTTGTACACTAAAATTATATGCTACCAGGGTTACAGGTCAATAAAATGAATTTTAGTAATTGGTAATTTTTAAAAGGTGACTAAGATACCTTTTAAAAGTAAGACACATTTATGGTGAACACAGTGTTTAATACACAGGGAGAAAATGCTTTTTCTTTTGGAATTGGGAAATGATACAAACTTACAGAGAAACCGTAATATTTTCTTACCATTTTTAAGTTTTCATTTTACTTTCAGTTGAAAATCGAGTTCGTCCGTTAGTACTGGTGATTAAGAAGTGGGCAAGTCACCATGAGATAAATGATGCCAGTCGTGGTACTTTAAGCAGCTATAGTCTTGTATTGATGGTTTTGCACTATTTACAAAGTAAGTATTATGGGTTTTTCCCAATTTTTAAAATGGAAACACAGTTAAACTTCATTATGGTGTCTTTTCTGTTGACACTGTCTTCAAACAGTATTGTTTTAAAAAGTTCTTTCTAAGGCCCATATAGCCATATTTTTCTAATTTGTTGCTTTGAACAAATGTTTTAGAAATGTTAGTCCCCAGAAAACATTATAAGGAAGTTTCGCTGTGTTTTGTTTTGTTTTGTTTTGTTTTTTGACAGTTTTTCCATATTACTCTTTTGTATTCAAAGAACTTTTACTGCTATATTGTGGATCCATTATCTTGAGGCACATGCATGTTCAGAAGCCCTATAATAATAAGCTCAAGCACCATTCATCATGTTTTTTATTTTTCACTTGAGACAGGAATTAAAGGATTTTCTTTTTGGATAAAGAAGTTTTTATTCCTTGTGAGTTGGCATGGAGTTTGGGTGAAAGAAATAATAGAAGATTGGAAATAATCTAAGTTTTTAAGAATAGAAGAATGATTGAATTAATTATAATATTTTCAGCTGCTAAGAATATGTTTTTAGGATATTTAATGGTAAAAGAAAATATCCATGATATGGTATCATATACAACATGGGATCAATTTTATTTTAAAAATTGTATCTGTATTTGAGTTTGTGTATGTATTCATATGTATATAAATATTGAAAAGTTATGTGCCAGAAATATATCGGGTTATTTAGATTTTGTCAAATGTACATTTTAAATTACAACTAAAACTAAAAAGTGAATAGACACTAGTTGTGATTTAGAAATGAGATTTGACTACAGTATTGAATATGTATGAATAGCTATAATATGTGCTCTTTCTCTCCATTTTTGTGGGTTACATTAGATACTTTACTTTGATTGCCTTTAGAAAAATGGACTTTTATCACACATGTACTGAGGTAGTTTGGTAAGCAAGTTGAAAGTTCAGAAATTTTTTACCACTGTTCAAAAATCATGTTAAAATTCTGTTTACATTTTGTTAAACCTATTTTGTTTTTGACAAAGTCCTCTTCACTAAGATGATTTGTAATTAATGGCACTATCATCACTGTTTCTAGGTCTTTGTTAAAGTACATCCACTATGCACAGCTAAAGTATAACTGTATTGAGGTGCCTGGGTGGCTCAGCTGGTTGAGCCTGTGACTCTTGATTTCAGCTCAGGTCATGATCCTAGGGTCGTGGGATTGAGCCCCGGATCGGGCTCCGCACTAAGTGTGGAACCTGTTTAAGATTCTCTCCTCTCCTCCCTCCCTCTCTCTCTCTGTGGAACCTGCTTAAGATTCTCTCCTCTCCTCTCTCTCTCTCTCTCTCTCTCTCTCTCTGTCTCTCTGTCTGACTCTCTCTCTGACTCTCTGACTCTCTTACTCTCACTTGCTCTCTCTCCCTCTGCCCATCTTCCCCTCTCGCACTCTCTCTCTCTAAAAGAATAATAAAAGTAAAACCGTAACTGTTATTTGGCAAATTTTGACTACTTCTCACTAGAAGAAATTAGATTGAAATAAGTAGCCGTGTTGAAATTAGATTGAAATAAATAGCTGCGTTTTTGGCAAACAGGAGTCTGCAAAGTGTATTGAGCAGTTCCAGTCATGCCACAGTGAACTAGTGTTTGTAATTTTGGCCAGTTTATTCCACCTTTCTGGCCTTAATATTCTTATCTGTAACACGGATAATTGGATTGGATGGACTTTTAGGTTTCATTTAACTTCTTAAAGGCTTTTTTAATATCTTTTCTGCCATGAGTACAGAAAGGAAATTTGTCTTCTGTATGTGGAAAGGTTGAAAAAAATTAAAGTATTTCCTAGAATGAATTTCAATAGTTAGTAATTGACTACATATGCTTGAAAAAGTGACTGATGAAAGTGTGACAGGAAAAAGCTGATGAGAAGAGATTTTAATGGCCATCTAAGATTAATAATAATAATTAATAAAAAGGCAAAAGTATTACCTGGTTAGAAATAATAATTTGAATGAATATTCATAGAATGTTTACCATGTTTTCAGGTACAAAACTGTTTCAGGCATTCTAAAATTGCTCTTGAATTTTTGGGACACCTGGGTGGCTCAGTTAGTTGAGTGTTTGACTTTTGATTTTGGCTCAGGTCATGATCCTGGGGTCATGGGATTGAGCCGCATGTCTAGCTGTGCGCTGAGAATGGAGCCTACTTGGGATTCTCTCTCCTCCCCTGTTCCTCTTCTTAGATTGCACACGCTCTCTCAAAAACAAAATTGTCCTTGAATTTTCAAAATTGTTGTTTATTGTTGAAGATCTCTTTTTTTTAGTTGAATTTTTGATGAATCAGAATGGAATGTTTCCATGTTTAAATTTGTGGAGGCCTGACCAGAAAGCTCTCATCTGAAATGTAGGCAAAGTAAAATCTTACAGAGTAGCTGTTCTGAAGGTGTTATCTATTGATCAGATACTGTAATAGTAAGGTGTTTTGTTTGTTTGTTTGTTTGTTTTTTGCTTTTGAGAAATTTAAAAGATTGAAGTCCAAAATTTTGAAGTAAAAATAGTTGTTACAGCTAGATCCTTCCTGCATGTATGTTGCTTTTTTCCTCCCAAATGTTTAGTTTTGAGAGAGAGAACGAGCGAGCAAGCGAGAGGGGAAGGGGTAGAGAGAGACGGGACAGAGGATGTGAAGCAGGCTCTGCGCTGACAGCAGATAGCCCAATATGGGGCTTGAACTGATGAACTGTGAGATCATGACCTGAGCCGAAGTCAGATGCTTAACCAACTGAGCCACCCAGGTGCCCCTGAATATATGTTGCTTTGAGTAAAATAAACATTTGAAAAACTATTCAAGACTTTGATGTTACTATCAGGATAGTGTTAACTGCCACGGTACTTGCTCTGCAATGTGTTGACCTTAAAAAACAAAAGAGCTAGGTTTTTGTTTGTTTGTTTGTTTTTTTACCAGTACAGTGAGTTTATTCTGGAATAGAGGAATCGCAATTCAGAACAAGCAAACTGTAGTGAACCAACCATTGGCAAGTCCAGAGAATGGAGGTTGAGGGGCTTGCCTTTATCGAGGAAGGGGAGGAAGCTGGAAGGGGCTGTTTTGCTGAATTCTCATTGCCTGGGCTGTTGCTGAGCAAGGAAAAATTCTTTCTTCCTTCTACTAGAGTATGTAAAGGAAGCTTCTTCCTATTGGGGAATGCAAAGTATACTTCTTATGGAGAATGGTGGCAGTGTGTGAGAGCACCCCTTTCAGGGCTTCCTGACTCCACTTTCTTTTATTTATTTTCACAAATGACTAGCTTTAAGGTTGTTAGACAAGGGATTTACTGAGTGATATCCCTGCTCCCCAAAACTTTCAAATTGCTTAGTTCTCAGGGTGCTTTGTCTATTGAAAGACCCTAACCAGTGATTACTGTTTGTTTTTCTCTTCTAACATTCTGGTTATGATTCTAGAATGAAATAAAATTTTTTTTCTAAATGTTTATAACCTTTCTTCACTGTTTTTTAAATTATAATTTTAATTTACTAGGGGTATTCAGTGAGAAGGGAATTCAGGTTTTTAATTAAGTAAACTAATTTCTAGTAAGATTTACCAATTTGACTTCTATATTACAGCAAAATTGTTAGAAAGTCATTAAAAACTATTACATGAATATAAAGATGTTTAGAATTAAAGTAACTGGGGCTTGAGTTTATTTGTAGGATCTTCTAGAATTTTGAGCATTTGAATGCCTCTGGGAAAAAATATTTTTACTTCCTAAGAGTGATTCCAGTAAGTAATGAGTTTTTCCCCTCAGTCACACACGGTGAACATTCCAGACTATCATGGAATTTTATTTTATTCCGATTTCAACTTGGGAATGGAGCATGATACAGAAGAGATATTTAAATATTATGTGATAGAAATTTATACATTTATAATCATAGTTGGAGATCACGTAAGTTGGTAATAATAGTTGATTATTTAGATATTAATGTATTCCAGAAGTCATATAAAAAGGTTTTTGCTAAACTGCAAATTAAAAATAATGATTGTTACTGAGTTTACTTAATTATATATAATGTATTTCTAATTCTTAAATACACAGTTTGTTTTATGGTATTATATTTGGTCTTTAATATTAAATCTTGAAAACACATTACTTGTATCTTATACTCAAGATATTGTATTTTGCAGTTTTTTTTATTGTGAATATTAAGTACTTTGCTTTCCATGTTATTTCCTTTATATTATGATGATGTGAAATGGCTGTTAATGCATTTAATGAGGTTGGATTTTGGTAAAGATATTGGAGAATGAAGAATGACAAAAAATAAAGTAACATAAAGATAATGATTCCTTTGTATGAGATTTTAATTTTTTATGGCAAAGTGGCATATTTATATTTGTATTTCTAAACTTTATATTTCTGATTTATATTTCTAAACTTTGCTGAAGCCTCCTTTTTAAAAATTAGTGAAGTTGAAGATTTTTTTTTTCAGTTCTTTTAATAGATCGATCTCCTGAAACTATCTCAGTTTTGGTATTACTGTTTATTAGAAGGAATTAAACATAAAGGGACAATTATGATATAGCTATTATTCTTTCATGATACAGTATCATTGGACTTTACTTAAAAATTTTTTTTGATAGCTACATTCATCTTAACAATGTTCATTCAATATATGTAGAACAATCCTTGTCTTGCTTATTTTGTGTGTGTGTCTGATGTTGGACCAAATGATGTGTGTCCATTGATGACTTGTTTTTCTAAAAATGCAAGGAACATTTGTTTACCTAGAAATATACATAGTTTATTAACCTGAAGTTATCAACTTAGATATATTTTGAATTTAAATTTCTAGGGATCAGAGTTAATTCACAAAATATATGGAAACTGTTGAATTCTAGCAGAAACCCTTATAGTCTCTCATACCTGGGGTGTAGCTGACAAATTATTGCTTTGTGAAATGAATTATGTGAATCACAGAAGCTTTAAACTTTTTTTTTTATAGCCCTACCTGAACCCATCCTTCCATCCATCCAAAAAATTTACCCAGTAAGTGTTTCTTATAAATTATTCTAATACATATTATGACAAATATATGTGGAACTATTATATGCAGTATTAATGTGAATGTAAAAGGTGTGATAGTTACCTTCTAAGTATATAATAACATTTTCTATATAGGCTGAGGCATTGGCCACTAGCACATTAAAAATATTCCGTATACTTTTTCAGAAGACTGTCATATTTTATTTGGTTATTGGCAGTGTGGTCATTTTTCTTAATGGTGGAATTATTTGCATGATGCTCATGATTATCACTAAAAGGAATTAAATATATTCAATTGGTCAAGGCCTATTTAGACTCATTCCAGTTTTCTTCGTGCTATTTTAAATAGTTTTATAGCATTTCTTTACTCAGAAGTCTTTTAGCCCAATCTACGTATACTTTGAAAGCAGGGGAAAAATTAAGTTGAACAATTGGATAATCATTGTATCTTTCACTTGATTTTACCAACTAATACACCAAAAGGAGTAACACTGATACTTACACTCCTTGAGTGCATAATATTAAGAATCCTTCTGAAGTTAATTGGAAACATGAAAGTGGTGAAGGGTGCCTACTAGAAAAAGTTTGGTATATACTCAGTTTGCATTTAGAGAAACCTAGGTAATGTACATAACTCACAATCTATATACTTTTGTTTCTTTTCCAGTTTTTTGTGTTCCTTTTTTCCAGAATTCTGTTTCCTTGTTTTATAGTCCTACCATTTCTGTTTTCCTCCATAATCATCCTTATTCTTGGTTGTATTTGGAAATAATATTTAAACTATCTGTTTAGAATGTTTAATCAGCCTTCTGAAACCATGTAATTTTTACCTGTTTAGTTTTATGAAGTTACAAAAAGCTGTTTTCTAAAATTACTAAATAGGCAAATTGAAAAAGATCTAGCTTGAGTGATCACTTTTCAAAGGACTTGCTTATTTTATATGTATCATAGAAAATATAAGTCCTTGATATGGAATCTAAATTAAATATAACTTAACCTTTGATAATTGAGAAGAACTGATGTTCTTGTTTTTGAACATGTTATTATTGTAATGCACACATGCAAGGTGCTAGATAATGAAAGGTTCACTGTTATCGAGATTGCTGTGGTGAGGACTTCCCAGGTTGTGGTGGATCATCTGGTAAAGACACCGTTATAAGAATCGTTTGGAGGGGCGCCTGGGTGGCGCAGTCGGTTAAGCGTCGACTTCCAGCGGGTCACATATGGTCGCTGAGTTTTCGAGCCCACGCGATCCTGAGCTGATGGCTGCAGTACCGGAGCCTGGAGCCTGTTCGATTACGTGTCTCCCTCTCTCTCTACGCCCTCCCGTCATGCTCTGTCTCTCTGTGGCCCAAATAAATAAATAAACGTTGAAAAAAAAAAAAAAATTAAAAAAAAAAAAAAAAGAATCTTTTGGAATCTGGGTATCTTATCTTCCTCATTTTGAAAACTAATTTCTGGTATTATAAAGAGCTACTATAATGTGTTTCAATTATTGCTAGGGATCACTATGCTTTCATAAACATTGTGAAAATGAAAGCATCAGAAAGTATAGAAATGAAAGTAACTTGAACTTTTGGGTCTTATCCTTGAATGGTTTTCTCCCTCCATAAAATATTGATTATTTAGCTTATGCTGAAAGGTCAGAAATAATGACTGGGTGTTTACTGTTTCATTTTATTGTCCCAGCTTTATTGTTAAGACCTAGGTTTCCGTGTAGAAAGAGCTGTGTATATTTTTCAGCATACAAAGCATCTAATAGTTAAAACTTATCCTTTAAAGAATCTCTTACTGTGTGTGGAACAGATGCTTCTACACAAATCTCACTTAAACTCTGTGCTGCATGAATTTGTTTTACTAAAATAAAATACTAATAAAGTGTCAGTTTAATGCTCTATGCTTGAGAACAGAGCAGAGGTATTGCTTTTATTTTAGGATACCAAGGTTCTTACTAGTATATTCTAGTTTGAAGAACCTTATTTTTACTTCTGTTTCATGTTTCTAATTTTCTAGCTTCCCCCCATGACAGAGTCCCATCTTCTCTTCACTTACACTGTCTCTCACCCTATACTCTACACTCCTGTTGTGCTAATAATCCTATTTCTATACCTGTAACAAGGAAATAAATTTAATACTAGTTCAGTCCCAAAGCCTTAAAAAATACTTGTAGCAAGACCTGCTAGATTTAAGAATGTCTTAATTTGCTTTCAGGTGTGATTATATTACCATAAATATTTGAAGAATACTATCTTTACTATAAGATTAATGCTTACATGGGTAAGGATATACTATCCACTCTTAACAGGATTTTAAATTTTATCTGAAACTTGTAAGCTAATTGATCAGTAGAGTGCTTTTCTTGGTGGTCCATCCAATGGAACAAGCAAATCAGCTTATTTCTTACTACTGATAACTATTATTTATGTAGTATCTATTTTATGTCAGCACTCTATAAATTTTATATACAGTGTCCTTAGTCCTCGACAGGTAAACTTATGTAGTATTTTCCTTGATTCACAGGTGAAGAAACTAAGTCTTAGGAAGATTATATTATTGATCCAAGTTGTATTACAGTCACAAATTATGGACCCAGAAACTGATATTTTTTCTATTATACTGTGCTGAATGAGGAAAGGCAAAATGATAGTAGTGTTCACTAATATATTATTTCATCTAGTTTCTGTTGATTATTACATTTTATTTGTGTATATCTGATTGTCCCTATACAGATATACCTTTCTTTAAGAAAAAACATATATGACAAAATTTCAGGTTGAATAAGTAAGTTTGAGAATGACTTAAAACTTTATAGTAACAAAAAAAACACTATTTTACAAGGGAACAAGGTTCTTTTAAATTTTGAGCTTCTCTAATATAGTTAAGTAGAATTTAAAAATAGGATATAAATTTTGAAATAGAATAATATTTGTTCAGTATATTATGCTTTTTTAGTTATTTTCGTATTTTCTCCTCAAATTTATGATAATTGTTTTAAAAATTGGTATGGTGTTTCATTTCGGTTTGGATACTAAATTATGAAAAAAAAGGATGAAAGACTGTGGCCATATCTTTACCTTCAAAAGCTATATAACATTATTATTACTACTTAATTCTTATTGACTTTAAAAAGGGAACATGAATAGTCAAATAGAAGACAGAATATTTACTATTGAGGTAAAGCAGTGACGTAGAGAATGTTTAAATGTATAAACTCGGGTTAAGCTTATGAAGGGATCTTTAGTTTAATGCAAGTATATTGTGAGATTTACCTAGATTTATGCTAGGTGGAGATTTATGAAGATAACTTATATTTGTTTCTTTCCCTAGTGGCATCTTCATATTCCAGGAAGCCATTTTTATAGTTATGAAGTTAGGAATTCTGAGAAGTAGAGTTCCCCTGTGTAGTTATGTATTGAAATATATTAAATTTTACATGTATACATATGCATACATATGTATACATGTAGCAACTTTTTTTTCAGTTTTAAAGTGTGTACAGTATGATGAAGGATTTTAGTTATGTAAAACAGGTTCTAAATGAATACCTTTGAAAAGACATATTTAAAAGTTTGGGGGGAAGTTTTTTTTAGTGATAAAAACATTCTTTTAAAGTTGATATTACTTAAATTTTAAGAGTTATAAGGAAGTTAATTTTGAAATAATACATTATTTCAGGAGGTAACTATACTGCATTATTGCATAAATTGGACAGTTATGGGGTGCCTGGGTCGCTCAGTTGGTTAAGTGTCTTACTCTTGATTTCAGCTCAGGTCATGATCTCAGGGTCATGAGATCAAGCTCTGAGTCAGGCTTAGCACTGGGCATGGAGTCTGCTTAAGATTCTCTCTCTTCCTCTCTCTTTCCCACTCCACCTTGTGCTCTAAAAAAAGATAATGTACAGGGGCGCCTGGGTGGCTCAGTCGGTTAAGCATCCGACTTCAGCTCAAGTCACGATCTCGCGGTCCGCGAGTTCGAGCCCCACGTCGGGCTCTGGGCTGATGGCTCAGAGCCTGGAGCCTGCTTCCGATTCTGTGTCTGCCCCTCTCTCTGCCCCTCCCCCGTTCATGCTGTGTCTCTCTCTGTCTCAAAAATAAATAAACGTTAAAAAAAAATTAAAAAAAAAAGATAATGTACAGTTATAATAATAATGATGCCAAGCTATATAGGCAATACTGTACTATACTACATACTATACTAAATATACTAAATACTATATAGGTAATACTATTGCTGCTATGCTTTACATATATCATTTAATCCTTATTACAGTTCTATGAGTACTGTTATTTTCCTTGTGTTATAGATGAAGAAGCTGAACCTTTGGAAAGCTAAGCAATTTAAGTTCATAGAGCTAAGAGAAGGTTTCAAAGCTAATTCTGACTCCAGAGCTCATGTTCTTAACCACTTCATTATAGTGCTTCTACTTTATGATGCTTATGTTGCTTTCAAAATGTTAAACATTTTACTAAAAGCAAATATAATTTAAAGGAAATTTCATGATCAGTCTTTAACATGTATCACCGAACTCGTGGTAATCTGCATATAATTAAGAAAGGTTGGTGAGACTTTAATATATCATTTAGCTCTTTTTCTATTTAGGCAGAACTCTGTTCAAGTAGTCTATATCAGTTATCTTTTTCTTTGAGACCTTCCTCAACATTTATATATAGGGTCTAATAATTTATATTGTTAGAATACTATGTAACTTAAATTTCTCTGTTTGCCTGGAGGTAAAAAATAGTCTTCTTTCAATTAAGGCATGTATCTTTTTAAAGAACAGTTAGCAAGTAAAAGTTTAGCCAGTCTATTTTATTCTAGAAAGTGCTTAATTGTCTAAATTTCAAACTTTAAAGGTAAGATATTATGGCATAGTCTCAGAAAATGATGGAATTTGGCAAAAGATGTTTTTGCTATTTTGGGGGGAAGCAGTTCTATGGGCAAAGAAAAGTTGAGACTTTTCAGATGTTTTTCAAAGGGTTGCCCATTTAAATTTTTCTTAAATTGGCATTGATTGAAAAGGAAAAAAAGGTACAGAAGGTACAGATCTTCAAAAATCTTTAAATATCAATTGGCAGATGTTTGCAGGAATTAAGTCATTACAGAATAAAGATGTCTTCCCTACATTAAAAACAAACAGCAGGTATCGATAACCCACCTCACCTCCAAATGCGTTTAGAAAGATGTTACATTCTATCAGTTAAATTGTTTTTCCATGGATTTAGGATGTAATTCCTTTGACTTTTCAGTTGTTCTTTATGTGTTTTCTAATATGTTAAAGTTCTGCCTACTCGTATCCAAGGTAGCATATATTATTTTTAAATACATGTGCAATGGGGCAGCTCCCTTAAAAAAAAATTCTTTGGTGAAATTTTTCTTAAAGCAGAGAATCTTTCTGTAATGTGAATAATTACCAACAATGGGGATTTCTTTTTTTTTTTTAATTTT